GGGGAATCCCTGGAAACTCTGGCTGGGAGATGGGGGTGTTCCCACAAGGAGGGAAGGATCRATGATTCCCAACTGCTGATCCCAAAAACATTCAGTTGACACCTTTCCAGGTCCTTTTTTTTGGGATTTCCTATTTCAGGCCCTTTTTCCCCCTTTCCTCTGAGCGCACCCACACACGAATCCAGCCATAAACTGAATTTGTCCCAATCCCAAATGAACCCTTCGAGGTGACAGGAAAAACAAACCCCAAAAACCGGCGATGAACCACTCCATTTCCGCRTTATCAACCCCAGGAATTCTCTCCCCCACCACAGTTTTCCATCCCCTCATTCCTGATTTTTTTCCAGTTTCTTTCACCTCATGAATGCAGCGACAGCCAGTTGGGATTGTTCTGTTAAATCAGAATTTCTGTTAAAATCTTCTTTGTTTTTTTCTCTCTTAATTGAAAAAAAAAATCATGGATGGGTTCCCAAAGGATGATTTATCCTGGATTTTTGGAACTACAAAATAAGGCAGCACCTAAAAAGGTTTGGGCAAAGAACCCAAAAAGGTTTGAAAAGGAACCTAAAAAAGTTTGAGAAAAGAACCGAGAAAGTTTTAACAAAGAACGTAAAAAGGTTTTGGGTGAAGAACCTAAAAAGGTTCAACAAAGAGCCTAAAAATGTTTGGGCGAAGAATCCAAAAAGGTTTTTAAAAGAACCTAAAAAGGTTCGGGGCAAGGAACCTAAAAAGGTTTGGACCAAGAACCTAAAAAGGTTTTGGGAAAAGAACCCAAAAAAGTTCTGACAAAGCCCCAGGGTTTCTCAGCACGAGGGAGGGCTGCAGCAGGAATGAGGGGTTTAGGGGTTCATCTGTGGGGTCATTAATGGGATCATCATTATTCCATGGAAACCCCCGGGCGAGGTGACCAAAACCAGGCCTGGGAGGAGGGGATTTATTATTTATKATTTATTTTRATWAATTCTTATGATTTATGGGRCRGGGYTGACCCTGATCCYGTCCTGCTRCATTTCCAGCCCCTAAAGATCCTTAAATCCCMYCCAAAAAAAGGATCCCAGAACCTCRGTGACCCCAAAATCAGGGATGGAGTGACCCCAGAATCACGGTGATGCTGATCCAGAACAATTCCTGGAATTCCAGGGTTTCCAGAACATTCCCAGTGTATCCATCCCAAATCCAAGGAAAACTTCTCCCAAACATCACCGTGCCCCACAAACACCCTCACCCCATCCCAGCACCCAGAAACTTCCACACACTCAGCCGAGACCCCMAAAACTGCTCAGTTCCCCCCAAAATTCCTTTGAAATCCAGATTTTGACCAGAACCTCCACTCCTCCACCCACCCCCTTCCAGGAGCCCCCACCAGGAATTCCCAGGAGGGTTTGACCCAAACATCACAAAAATGTCATTTTTTCAAACCAAAACACCACATTTTCCCCACTCTGAGACCTGAAATATCCACATTTACATTCTACATTTACATTGACAGAAATAACCTCTAAAACACGACCTAAAATTTTAAATTTTTCCTCTTAGGAAACAGGACTGGAGCTCCCAGGATGGATAAACCAGGCAGAGGGAACAAATTCCCATGTTTTTATCAGTTTTTATCTATTTTTATCGGTTTTTATTAATTTTTATCCATTTTTATCCATTTTTTCCTCCTGGAAGCTCAGCAGGAGCAGGACAGGGCAGGATCAGCAGGATCGAAACGGGTGAAACTGCTCCAGAGGCCATTCCAGGATGGAAAAATGGGAATTTTGTACATTTTTTATGCCAAAATACTTCTTTAAACAGATGATTTCAAACCAGGCCGGCATTCTTCTCTTCCTCACCAAAATTCCCCAAATCCAGGATGCCACAGCCCCGACCCCAAACACGTCCCTGTGTCCCCACCCCAAGCCAGGGGCGATTTCCAACAATTTCCAGCTGAATTCCTCACTCAGTGAAGATTTTTTGGATGTTTATTATGAATAAATCCACCCCCCATCCAGGAATTTCTTGGAGTTTTCCCTGAAATTGGAATAATTTGTCCCAGAAAAACCCCCAGTGTTTTCTGCTGCAGAGATTTTGGGTTGTTATTCACCCAGCAGGGCCTGGATCCCGAAAATCCCGAAAATCCTGAGCCTACAAATGCTCTCAGCCCTTTAATCCAGACCATCCCGATCCAATCCATCCATTTTTGGGAATATTTTATCCAAAATCTGCTCGTTTCAGGACCCTGGAATGCCCAAACTGCTCCTCTCTGAGGGATCACGCACTGAAATGAGAAATTCCAGCCTCTCCCCCTAAAATCCCCCTTGAATCCATATAAAATATCAATATTATGAAATGTTATAATCAATAAAATATTAAAATAAAAATAATAATATAAARTATTATTAAATAGTCAGATGCCTCCTGTTTCATTTTAGAGCCAAAAACCACAAAAGTTTTGCTTTCCTGATTTGGGAAGAATCCAATGGAAAGCTGGGAGATTTCCCACCAAACAACCACTGAACCCAAAAATCAGCATCACCAACCCAGAATTCCCATTTTTCCACAGGGAAAATTAAATTAAACTTGCACAGGGAAAGGGAGGAGACGCTGCTGCCACCTCTGTAAATTTCCAATTTTTTTTTGTGTTGTTCCTTATTCCCTCTCCTTATTTTACAGCGATCGCATTGACCCCGTTTCCAAAATTCTTCGCTTTCCCCAATAAAAGAAACCCAAACCACGACCCCCTGAAGCACAAAATCCATGAAATTCACACATTCCAACCCCTTGGGCACAAAATCCACAAAATTCACACATTCCATCCTCTTGGGCACAAAATCCACAAAATTCACACATTCCAACCCCCTGAGCACAAAATCCATACATTCTGACTCCCCAGAGCACAAAATCCACAAAATTTGCCCATTTCCGACCCCCCAGAGCACAAAATCCACAAAATTCGCCCATTTCCGACATCACTGAGCACAAAATTCACCTATTTCCCACCCCACCGAGCACAAAATCCACAAAATTCGCCCATTTCCAACCCCCCAGAGCACAAAATCCACAAAATTCGCCCATTTCCGACCGCCCGCATCCCAAATTTCCGCGAGTTAGTAATAAACGGAGTGCCGGGAGGAGAAGAAATGCAGAAATGCAGAGGGAAGAGAGAGGAAAGAACCCGAAATTCCAAGAAATTACAGGAAAATCCAATGAATTTTATCCAAAAAAGGAAGAGCCACGGGACTTACACACGGATGTCTTCTGGTTGTTGTCCTTGCTGGGCATCAGCTTCACCCCCCTGGATTTGAGCTCCATCTGCTTCTTCACTGCAGGGATAGGAAAAAAAAATTAGCTGAGCTTTGTGGAGTTGAAAATTTTAATTTTATTTCGATTTAATTTCGATTTCAAATTGAAAATCCAAATTTCAGCTTCAATTTCAAATKTAGTTTCAAATTAAGTTGAGGTGCACCAGGCTCATCCTGCATCATTCCCTGGGGAATAACAAATTTATTCTGATCCTCCAAAACCAGGAAGGGTTTATTGTCCATGTCAGGAGTTTGGAAATCATTAATTTGGGGATAAAAATGGGGTTTATAAACCTTTAATTTGGGGATAAAAACGGGGTTTATTTTCCATTTTAAGGGTTTGGAAATCTTTAATTTGGGGATAAAAATGGAGTTTGGAAATCTTTTAACTTGGGGATAAAAATGGGGTTTATAAATCTTTAATTTGGGGATAAAAAGGGGTTTATAAATCTTTAATTTGGGGATAAAAATGGGGGTTTTTTTCTGTGTCAGGGGTTAAGAATGGGGTTTATTTCCTGTGTAAAGGGTTTGAAAATCTTTAATATGGGGATAAAAATAGGGTTTGAGCTCCTCATCCCTCTGTAAGGCATTAAAATCGGGAGGCAGGAAAAAGGGAAACCCCAAGAAAATTCAGGGATGTCGAGAGGAAAACGCTGAGCTGRTTCCCCTCAGTTTTCCTGCTGCAGGGATTTATCCCATAAACAGAGTCAAAACCTAAAAACTCAAATCGTGGTCTCAAATACAGAAAAAATAGCCATGAAAAATAAAATTAAACTACTATTGTTGGAAAAAAATTATTAATATTTGTGGATGGTGAGTGTCCCCAAGGTGTGACCGTTCGCTCCCTGCTCCAATGCCCAAATCTGGCTAAACTTAAACCAAAGGCTGGACAAAATTCAGAATAAAAAGCAGWTCTGTTTATTGCAAGGCCTTCATTTTTATATATTTTATAATAGAAATATATGTTTTATATGATATATTATKATATATSATATATAAATAYATATAATAACAATTTAATGTATTTTTAATAGAAATCTCCACTCTCTGTGAAGTCTGGAGTTATCCAATGAAGAATCACAGGGGTACAGAAAATAAYGAAAAACAAAGAAAAATATTTTCTACGTGAAAACACAGAAAAAAAAATTCTTCTATGAAATATAGAGAAGCTGAAATCCTAAGRAATCRGCTCCAAAACCCCACTAGAAGAGGAGAAAAACCAGAAAAAGTGACAGAAAGAATTCCACCCATCTCCAGGTGCCCCATCCTCTCCCCACTGGCAGCAATTTGTTTTTCTGCTCCGGATTTGGCAGAGGCTCCTCCACCCCGAGGGTTTTACAYGAACCCCACGCTGGCAGAGCCATCTGGAGCAGCTCAAACACCTGGATTCGGGAGAATTCAGGAGAATTCGGGATAATCTGGGCAGCTGGGAGCTGGGGAGTTCAAGGGGGACATTACTTAATTTATTAAGTTTCTTATCTGAAAATTTTAGTATTTAATATTTAATTAAATATTATATTTTAGTATTTAGTATTTATTTCWAAATGCTAGAATTTAATWTTTAATATTTAATYTTCTCAAAYATYCWAATTWGAGAAGAATACAAAAATTGTTACACACGGAGGATCTCGACACTTTTGATGAGCTGTGCACCATGACGATCCTATTAAATACCCTTTTTTCATCCCCTAAACTCATAAGCCCAAAACCATCAGAAGGTGAAACCTTCTCTCKGAACRCATTGTGTGAGCTGGGCTCTGGCCTCATTTTGGGGCATTCTTTAGAATAGGGGGACATKACTTAATTTATTAAGTTTCTTATTTGAAAATTTTAGTATTTAATATTTAATTAAATATTTTATTTTAGTATTTAGTATTTATTTGAAAATTTTAGTATTTAATATTTAATATTTAATATTTAATCTTCTCAAACATCCTAATCTGAGAAGAATACAAAAATTACTACACATGGGGGATTTTGGCGCCTTCCACATTTTGATGAGCTGTGCACCATGACGATCCTATTAAATACCCTTTTTTCATCCCCATAACCCATAATCCCAAACCCATCAGAAGGCAGCAGTGGGAATGGGATGATCCCCAGGGTGGGTGAGGCTGGGCACGGGCGCTGCCCGCTCTCCTTACCCTGGTACTGCGCGCTGAACCCCTTCTGCCGGCGGTTGCCGTCCGAGGTGAAGTGCAGCCGCAGCCAATTCTTGCTGCTGATCACGGGCGCCGGCAAATTCATCCCGGTGAACCTGCGAGAGAGACACAGCCACGTCAGGAACCCGCTGGGAATGTCCCAAACACAGCAGGAACCCGCTAGAAATATCCCAAACTGGTCAGGATCCCGCTGGGAATGTCTGAAATACATCAGGAACCCACTGGGAACATCCTGAACCTGTCAGGATCCTGCTGGGAATGTCCTGAATCCATCAGGAACCGCTGGGAATGTCCCAAACATGTCAGGATCCCACTGGGAACGTCCTGAATACATCAGGATCCCACTGGGAATGTCCTGAACCCATCAGGATCCCACTGGGAATGTCCTGAATCCACCAGGAACCGCTGGGAATGTCCCAAACCCATCAGGATCCCACTGGGAATGTCCTGAACCCATCAGGAACCCAATAGGAATGTCCCAAACATGTCAGGATCCCACTGGGAATGTCCTGAACCCATCCGGATCCTGCTGGGAATGTCCTGAAGCCGTCAGGAACTTCTGGGAATGTCCCAAACATGTCAGGATCCCGCTAGGAATGTCCCAAACCCATCAGGATCACAATGGGAACGTCCCAAACCTGTCAGGAACCACTGGGAATGTCCCAAACACATCAAGATCCTGCTGGCCACACCCTGAACCTGTCAGGATCCCACTGGGGATGTCCCAAACCCATCAAGATCCCATTGGGGACATCCTGAACCGGTCGGGATCCCACTGGGACCATCCCAAACCCGTCAGGATCCTGCTGGGAACGTCCCAAACCCATCAGGATCCTGCTGAGAACATCCCATTCCCGGGAAGGCAAAAACATCCCATTCCTGAAGGAAGGCAAATCCCATCCATTCATCCCTCACTTCCATTTCCCTCTTTTTTCCTCGCATTCCCTCAAAAAACCAAAGTGTTTCTGAGCAGCAGCAGCAAAACTTAAATCATTAACATCACCTTTAATTACTGCTCTCTCCCAGATAAATTTCCTGACTGGGACCAAATCAATCTTTTTTTTTTTTTTTTTTTTTTTTAAGGAACTTTTACACCACTGGAGTTCTTAATTCTTCATTTTTTATTTCATTTCCCCAGCTCRTCTTTAAAGGAGCACAAACCAAATCCTTTGGCTGATCAGGAGAAAAAGCCAAACCAATTTCCACTGTCCAGGGGGCCTGATAATCTAATTTTTTTCTGCTGTTTTCCTTCACCTCTGAAGTGTTTCAAAATTATCTCAGGCTGAATTCTCCTGGATCTGAGTTCTGGATTAATTTTGCTTTAATGAGAAGTGATTCAATGGTCCACAGGCATTTCTGGAACTGTCACAGCTGAGCAGCCCAAGAGGTAAAAAGCTCTCGGAGGGGTTTTTATGACATTTGATTTATGCACAAACCCACCCAYTGYRGAWCAGTTTTTCTTGGATTTCRTGGATATTCCACACATTTCTACCCACAGGCAACGGATATCCAATGTTAGATATAAAAAGAGCAAGGAACTCATCTCGGAGGCATTCATAAAATTCAGATTTCTATTTTTAGAGTAAAAAAAGCCTCTTTAACCCAAAGGCACAACTTTGCACTGGAGCAAAGGCAGCTGGTGGTGAAGACAGAAATATTCCCGATTTTTCCAGTTTTTACCCCAAAATCATCTCCGAGCTCTGACTGCAAAGCGTTCCCGAGGCCACACCAAAGGTCTGAACTCCAAAGCTGCTCCTGGATAATCCCGAAACATTTCAGATGTCACATCCTACATGTGTCCCCAGCTGTCCCCAAACCAGCCCAGGTGCCACCTCTGAGCGCTCCTCTCCTGTGTTTTATCATTTCTTCTGTAGGTCCTACAAAAACACTTCTTCAGCACTGCAAAAAGTTACAGAAAYGGGGAGAAAACAAAATTTGGGGAGGAAACTCGGATTTCTGACAGCTCCATGAAAAACCTGCTCCGATTCCAGCAGTCACAGCTGCAGGAATGACAGAGGGATGCAAAGCAGAACCTGGGAACTCTCTGGAGCACAGAGGGATTTGGGATTCTGGGAATTGTCACAGTTTTATGATCAGCTCCATGCTGGCCATAAATAACAGCCCCAAGCACCCCCCAAAGGCTGCAATCCCCCCTTGGGGACACAGAGCTTCTGCTGGAGCTCAGCTCCACCTGTTCCTGCTCCAAGTGAGACCCACTGGAGAGGCTGGGAGGAGGAGGAGGATGGAGGAGAAGGATGGAGGATGGAGGAAGTGGAGGAGAAGGATGAAGAAGAATGGAGGAGGATGGAAGAGAAGGATGGAGAAGAATGGAGGAGGAGGATGGAGGAGGATGAAGGATGAGGAGGACGGAGGAGGATGGAGGACGATGGAGGAGGAGAATGGACGATGGAGAAGGAGGATGGAGAAGGAGGATGGAGGGGAACCCACAGGCTGTGACCAGAGCAGGGACAAAGCCGCAGAGACAGGGGGAATCCAACTCTGATGGCAAAACTCAAATGAATCAAATCCCTGAGTGACCATTGCCACCAGTGCAGACTGATGGCAGCAGCACCATGTCCTGTTTTGATCTCCCAGAGTTGGGAATGTTTTGAACTCCCAACGCTGGGAATCTTTCACTCCGTAATTCCCAGCTGAAGTTGGGTTTGCGAGCAGAATTCCCTCACAGATCAAACTCCCAGAGCTGGAAATGTTTTGAACTCCCAGAGTTGGGAATGTTTCGAACTCCTAGTTCTGGGAACATTTTGCTCTGAAATTCCTGGCTGCAGCTGGGTTTGGGAACAGAATCCCCTCGCAGATCAAACTCTGAGCACTGGGAATGTTTTGCTCTGTAATTCCCGGCTGCAGTTGGGTTTGGGAACAGAATCCCCACGCAGATCAAACTCCCAGAGCTGGGAATGTTTTACTCCATAATTCCCATTTGCAGTTGGGTTTCAGAGCAGAATTCCCCTCGCAGATCGAACTCTGAGCACTGGGAATGTTTTTCCCCGTAATTCCTGGCTGCAGTTGTGTTTGAGAGCAGAATTCCCTCACAGATTGAACTCCCGGAGTTGGGAATGTTTTGCTCCATAATTCCCATTTGCAGTTAGGTTTCAGAGCCGAATTCCCCTCGCAGATCAAACTCTGAGCACTGGGAATGTTTTTCCCGTAATTCCCAGCTGCAGTTGTGTTTGAGAGCAGAATTCCCTCGCAGAGCCCGGCAGAACCATCTGCCTGTTTACTCCAGCTCTGAATTTAGCGTGGCGGCCACGGCTCGAGGAAAGCTGTGCGATGGCCGGGAGCCAAATCCCAGAATCCGCCTGGTCCCGATTTCCCAGCTCAAACCCACGGGAAATTCTTTAACAGCAATCAAGAACAATTCCTGCTGTGCTGTGGCCTCTCCAGCAGGGAAYCAACCYTGGAATGGTTTGGGTGGGAAGGACCTGAAACTCACCCAGTTCCACCTTCCAGGGCACCTTYYCCCACCCCAGGGTGCTCCAAGCCCCATCCTGGGACAATTCCAGGGATGGAGCAGCCACAGCTCCTCTGGGAATTCCATCCMAGCCCCTCCYARGGATAAAAGTTGGGATTTTTGGGGCTGGACTTTGATGAATCTCRTGGGTCCCTTCCAGCTCAGGRCATTCCAGGATTCAAATCCYYGGAGCKGGGAAAGATGAAGGGATYCTCTTCATCCTCCTCCYTCCTTCCACCATGGGGAAACCACAGGTGGCAGAGGACAMGCCTGGTCTGCTCCCAAATCCTCCAAATTAATTAATTTATTATCTTCAAATTAAGGGTTAGCTGATTAGTATTTAACAGAAAAAAAATAAAAATTTTGGCCAAGCACTGAGTCAGGAAAACAAGGACAAGATTCTCATTCCAGACCTGATCTGCTTTTCCTCAGCACCCAGGGGAAGGTGCTTTCCCAGCCAGCTCAGGCTCTGGGATTTCCAGGGCCAGGATTCAGCTTTTCCACCACCAAATTCCTACAAATTTCATCTTTTAGCTGGAAAAACCAACAGAAAAATCCTCCAGCAGCAGTGGCAGTGAAGGAGTCACCAACAGGAGCATGACGARCCCAGGAATGAGCAGAGCWGGAATGGGAAYGTGGAATTGCATCCACACAGTCCTGGGGCACGGCACGGGAATCCCATAAAAATCCCATGCTTAATATTTCAAATAATAGTATATTTTTATATTATTTAATTATTTATAATTTTTTCTTTAATTGTGATTTCATATTTTAATAACATCATGTTTTAATATTGTAATATTTGAAAATATAATATTTTAAAGAACATAATAATAAGTGTCTCCAGTATAAACCATGAACAGTCAAAAGTGGCTACAGGGGCAGTGGGAGACCAAAAAATTCAATTCCTCTCCAAGGTGATCCGAGGAAACAAGACCWCCCTGAAGATTCCAACCTGGAATCTCCACATTTTGGGTGTTGTAACTCCAGGAAAAGAGAGGGGGAGATCAAACATCAGGAAAGATACAAAAGGAGTGACAAAAGGCAGGAAATCTAGAAAAAAAAATCATTGAAATCCTCTCCAAAAAGACTTGAGGAAATGAGACCTCCCTGAAGATCCCCCAAAATGCAATGCCCATGGATGTCATAACTCCAGAAAAAGAGAGGGGGAGGTGAAATACCAGCAAAGCTACAAAAGGAGTGACAAAAGGCAGGAAATCCAGGGAAAAGATCATTGAAAGCCTCCAAGGTGATCTGAAGAAATGAGACCGCCCTGAAGATTCTCCCAAACTGAAATCTCTACATCCTGGGTGTTGTAACTCCAGGAAAAGAGAGGGGGAGATCAAATATCAGSAAAGCTCAGAGCAGGAGCTACAAAAGGCAGGAAATTCAGCAAAGAAATCATTCCAATCCTGTCCAAAGTGATCAGTGGAAAGAAGCATTCCCTGAAGATTCCCCAAACTGCAATGCCCATGGATGCTGTAACTCTAAAAAAAGAGAGGGGGAGATCAAATATCAGCAAAGCTACGAAAGGAGCGACAAAAGGCAGAAATCCAGAAAAAAAAAGATCATTGAAATCCTCTCCAAAGCGATCTGAAGAAATGAGACCTCCCTGAAGATTCCAAC